TCAAGAGAGCACTATACGAAAAAACTGAAGTCAAGGTATTAAACGAAGACTGTCTTGTTGTTTACGAAAATTTAATTTCTCAAGGGAGAAAACCTCTTCTTTTAAACATGGGCAATGCCACAAGTCCTGGTGGTGGTTATCGGAAAGGTGATGGAGCACAAGAAGAAAATCTTTTTCGACGATCGGACTATTTTCGTAGTCTTGATGTTGGTCTTGACAAATTTGTCCAACCATCGTTACGATTTTATTGTACATCAACAGGTCGTTCTGAATCTTTAGTGGATTCCTCTACCATGTATTCGATGGATGAATATGGTGCAATATATACATCAGGCTTAACTGTATTTCGCCAACCAGAAACGGAAGGTTATGAATTTATGCATCAACCACTTGCGAATGTTTGTTCATTGGCTATGGCTGCTTATCGACATCCACCATTGGATGAGGACATGTTGTCAGCGAAATATGCCGTGGGAATGAGAAAAAAAATTGAAAATATTTTTGCTATAGCTCACCACCATGAACATGATACCCTTGTTCTATCGGCACTCGGTTGTGGTGCATTCAGAAATCCTCCTAATCATGTGGCAAAAATTTTTCGTTCAGTTATTGAACAATATGCAGGATTTTTTCGGTTGATTGTCTTTGCCATTATTGATGATCATAACACAGGACAAAACTTCAATCCGAAAGGTAATTTTTTACCTTTTCAACGTGAATTTCAACAATCAATTTTCGAGCCGATTCAACCGATCCATCAAGCCAATACAATATGTGGTCCTTATCGCTTTTTAACCGATGGTTCGACTGTGGAAAATGTTTCCATTTTTGATTTGACACCGTGCAAATATGGAGCCAAATGTCGCGATTTATATGAGTCAGCTCATGTACGTCAATATTCGCATCCACCTCTATGTACAGAAGCATGTGTGACAGGTAAATGTACGAAGATCGATGACATAGTTCATGTGTATTCATTTATTCATCGAAACTCATGCCCGCATGGTGGTTTATGTCGAGATATTGATGATAGAGTGCACGCACGAGAATTTGAACATCCTTCTTACTGCTCCCATGGGAGTAATTGTCAAGATACGAGCAACAACCATGAAAAAGAGTATCGACATTTACCATTATGTAAATATGCGCATCAATGTGCAGATTACCACCGAAGCATTCGACAGCATTGCGATGCATATCGTCACTGTAAACCATCTTGTCAATATGGACGCAGTTGCCCTTATTTTCACAATACAGTACATATGGAGGATTGGCAACATCCATTTCCTACACCGTGTCCATGGACTCCCTATCATTGTGTCTTATATGATGAGTTTCAAAATGCTGCGCATACAGAAAAGCTTACACATCATATCCAGCAACATTGTTCAAGTTTTGCTCATGTATGTGCATATGGACGTAATTGTCTCAAACAGAATTCATCGCACTGGGAAACAACAATTCATGTTCCACGGTTTGTTTGTTCGGACGGTAAAAAATGCCTGGAACTTAATCAAGAAGATCACTTGAACTCATTCACGCATTCAAACATTCAAGATATTCGATATTTGTGTAAAAATGGTTCGAGATGTGGAGAGTATGACAATATCGAACATAAATCTCAATACCGTCATGCATTGATTAGAGAAAGTATGAGTGTTATACCCTATTGCGATTTAAATAATAAGATCAACTTTTTACTGAATCAACGAAATAATGTTGAACGTATTATACATTTTATCAAAGATAATCGGTGGACGCCATCTACATCAGATTCAGTGTCGCAAGAGATTATCGACTGGATACGAACAGTTCGGCCTGTTTATCGCTGTGGATTAGAAGTATTCAAATCGATTCTTCTTCATGAGCACGTCATGAGCCGTGGATATATGGGAAATTTCACACAGCCGGAATTTCTTGCCCATTGTACACTGCAACATAGTCGAATCACGTCTATCGGCAGTCTAGCAACTGATATGCATAGGCAAAATGTTCAAAATTATATCATTGCATTAATTAGTGATCTATATCGAAAACATCAATTCTCAAAGTCCGACTTCACTTATCCCAAAGATCAGCAAAATGCCATTCAGCGAGAGGATAATATTCTGTTACAGGGTATTTCTCAAGACGATGTAAAGCTAATTCGTGAATTAACTATTCAAATAGCTCAAGCAGCGATAAGGCTTCATATGAATTTCGTTAGCACAAATTATCCGCTAGATGTGAAATCGGAAATCGATAAACATGTTTTAAGTGTTCTTGGATCACATCTGGATTACGATTGCGGTGACATAGTGATTGTGTTCAAAAGAGAAGTTCTTCATCATCTAGATGCGAATTTTTCTATTCAACCATTCGCATCTTATCAATCAGGAAAATGCTACCAGTGTCAGCCATGGTTAGGAGTCGAGTCAAATTATGGAGATGACCGAATTAAACTGTTTCATGAAACAAAATTACATGTCTCAATTCCAGGCTATGAACAAGCAGCTGCTATTGAATTGATAGCTCTCACAAGTTATTATTCGAAACAGCGAACGATGAACATTGATCTTAACATGATATTCAACTGTTGGCTCAATATTCATTCGCAAAACTCAATAGAAGCTCGTTTACCACAGCGAATTCCATTGGATTATATTGACGAAATTCACATGACACAGAGTATTTATGATTCGTTCGATGTTGACATGCATGATAGAATTAAAATTATTTTCGGTGCACGTTTAAGAATTTCACCGACGAAATCGAACAACGCGTATGCTAGTTGTATTGCTAGTGCATTGATTGAACGATGGGACAAGCATGATTTACAATCTGTTGTTCAAGGTCTTGTTATCACAATACCACCTACCAATTTTCTCGATAATCTCGTTATACCTCTTAGAATATCAGAAACGTACCAATACTATCGCATGCATCATTCGATAGTTTCGAAAGATATGACGATATATATATACTGGCAAGTGATAAACGGTGATATGATGCTAACACTATCGAAGGAACAAGCCGATCCAAATCACTTTACCTCGAAAACGCGCAGTTTAATCTGCTATATTGCAGAGAAACCAAGTACAACTACGAACCAATACCATGAGTATCCATCTTATTTGAACTTAGGTCAACCGTTTCAACATCAAGCATTCAAGGATGAAAATCGATATGCAGCTCAATCGACATCATTCTATCTCGGATGTAATTTGAATGGCTTTATGACGTTTTGCTTTGAAATACAGCCTTCTAATGGCGTGGTTAAACTTTCACATGCCGGTCCGAATTCCATTTATAATCGCGAAATAATATCCTGTACCATTCATAGATCAACATTTGATCTATCGGAATTAGAATTTCTGCATGTTAGTGCCGGAAATCGTGCAGTATCTGTTCGAAATCTGTTTGTCACATTCGAAAAACAAGAGCATTTACATCCAAAAATCGATCTCAAACTCGATAAAATTTCTTCGTTTGAAAGGGCAACATCCAACGATGTTCAAGCTGATAAAAGCCACGACAAACCTCGTGTATCATCTTTCACAGTAGCTAATGATCAAGCAAGACGACCTGCTGACATCATGGATCAAATGAAAAATATGGCTGTTCAAATAAAGGATAACGCAATAAACTTTTTTGTCGGCAAGAAAGATTCACTACTAACACCATGTCCACACGGTATCAATTGTTTGATTCAGTTTTCAGACATGGGCTTGCATCATAATTCTAAATATTCGCATCTATGTCGCTTTGCTGACCTCTGTAAAAATCCTGAACCTCATTTAATACATGAACTTCATCCAGTAAGTGCATGTCCTTTCGATCAGAACTGCAGGCAATTAGGTGATGCATATCATCGAGCGGAATATCTTCATTCCGGTTTACCCTATTTTTTGATTCCGTGTCGATATCAAGGACAATGTAGAGACAATACGAAAAAACACCGAATTAAATATTCGCATGGCGAAAACGTTCTAGAAGCAATGGGAAAACCATCACCAAAAGGTAAGCAATCATTGATGAAAAGTAACCAATTGTATTTGCATTGACTTCTTCTAATAAAATCATCCGATGTTTCCTCACGAGATAATGTTCATAGATGTGGGTGTGGGTGTGTGTTTATGGGTGTGAGTGTGGGGTATGTCTGTGGGTTTGAGGGTTTGGGTGTGGGTATAGGTATGTTAGCGTCCATGATGAATCACGTGGACGCTAGACGATGATTAAGATGCGCCTTCTAGTCTAATTGGCTTAGGACATCTGCCCGGATAGCAGAATCTATGAGTTCGGGTGTGGGTGTGACTGTAGATATCGGTGTGTGGGCGTGGGTGTGGGTGGGTGTGGGTGTGAGTGTGGATATCGGTGTGTGGGTGTGGGTCTGGGTCTGGGTGTGGGTCTGGGTGCGGGTGTCGGTGTGGGTGTGGGTGTGGGGTGTGTGTGTGTGTGTGAGGGTCAGGGTTGCCACCTCTTCCGCTTTTTGCGGAAAATTTCCACTTTTTCACCTTTTTTCCGCTTCTTTTCGGCTCTTCCGCTATTTTCCGCTTTTTCACATAAAAAAACCATCTTTGCGTAATTGAAAACTTCGGCACACAAGATGCTAGATAACGTCCTGTTAGACGAAAATTTCTTAGAAAAGAATTTTTCAATGTATAATTTTATCAAATTCTTGAAACATTTTCGCTTCGCGTAATAGATTTTCCAGTATTTTTTTCTATTAAAACACATTTCCGCTTCATTTTGGCTTCCAATATGGAATACATGCATCTTGATTTCAAATGCTATTGAATAAAAGAAAACTTATTTCGAATTCTTGTTCATTTGTTAACATAATAGATAAAACCGTATCGACATTCGGCGACTGAATGTAAAAAGATAACATTTTCCTCTTCTCTCTGCGAAAAGCGAGTTTTATTTTTTGGATGGCATGTTTTTCGGGTAAATCTTTTAGTTTCTGTGCCAGAAAGGAGGGTGTGGGTGTGGGTGTGTGGGTGCGGGTGTGAGTGTGAGTGTGGGTGTGAGTGGCCGTGGGTGTGGCTGTGGGATGTGGGTGTGAGTGTGGGTGCGGGTTTGGGTGGGTGTGGGTGTGGATGTGGGGTGTGGGTAGGGTGTGGGCGTGGGTGTGGGTGTGGGTGTGGGTGTGGGGTGTGGGGTGTGGGTGTGGGTGTGAGTGTGGGGTGTGGGTGAGGTGTGGGTGTGGGTGGGGATGGGTATGGGTGTGGATGTGGGTGTGGATATGGATGTGGATATAGATACAGCCCTCATCTACACCCCTCACCCCTC